AGCCCTGGCCACCAACATCTTGACTGCCATGTGAGGGGAGACCCTGAGGCCGAACCCAATCAGCCCACTAACTCACTCACTACCATGGAGTTGATGCTGTCTCATAACGACCCCTAAAGAGCAGGCTAGACATTTTTGAGCACCCTAGCTTGAGCTGCCTCGTTCCATAGCATCTGGAATTGCAAAGATTCTGAAGGGGAAAAACACCCTTTTGTTAAAACTTTCCAGTCTGCTGGGATCCAATAATCCATATCTGCCATATTCTTGACCATGCCAATTACAAATGCTGAATCTGGACCATAACTAGCTACTGCTTGCTTAAGATCTTTCAGCAGCTTGAAGGGAAAGGCAGTATAACGCCGTTTTTGATTCCTTTCAGGATGCTGATCATCAGGCTCCCTGTCTATAATTCTAACGGGATAAGCCATTCTGAATTCTAAATCTGCTTCATGAGCTATACTTTTCTCCATCCTTGACATCAAAGGTGCCTTTCTGTTCCCTAACTCTTTGCTTCTTATTTTCCTAGCCTCACTTTCTACGTTAAATCTCTCAGCTTGTTTTTCTTTGGATCTGACCTCTTCTCCTCCAGCACTGGCTTGCTTGATAGTATTGTGATTCTCCACACTATATTCAGGTGGGGCACATGGTTCAACTCCGCTATGTCCTGGTTCAAACTTTGCCTTCTCAGCTACACTTACAATTTTTTCATCTGCCTGAAACTCATCTCGCCTGCTTCTCACCTGATTTAAATCTGCATAGTTTGGAGGTTTCTCACTGTTCTGCTGGTCTCCTTCTTTTACTCTCTCTCCCTGCAGCAGCTCCAACACTTCTTTAATCTGCGCCCACACAGCCCAGGTCTCCATGGGTATGCTCTGTCCTTCCCTGTGAGCTTTTCTTAAGTTAATGGCTACCTTATCCCAGATCTCCAAATCAAAGGTTCCTGACTCCGGAAAAGAAGGATTAAATTTCTTTACCAATTGAAGAAACTCTTTCATTCTCTTACCTGTTACCTTTACCTTCTGTTTCTTCAAGAGGTGGCAAAGAGTGACACTGTACCCCATATTTTTGCTCTTTGCCTGACCCATATCTCACTCGGACTAAAAACACACTCAAAAAATTAAACTTCAAAAAAGTTTTCCCGATTCACTCTCTCTGTCCGATGAGGCCGTACAATTGTTACAATTGTTACACGGGATTTAACTCAAAAGAGTTCTTTTCCTACCAAGCCCCACGTGATGGGCGCCAATCTGTGGGGTTAAGGG